CCCCAAAACCCCAAAACCCCAAAACCCCATGATAATGAAATAATAAAATATGAGTTAGTGAGTTTTGAAATTAAGATTAAATTGATTGTTATTTTTGACTCAATTAATCATTAAAGGAGGAAATTTGTTGTTTGAGATTTTTTCTCAACGTGTCTCTTAATCATGTAAGTAGCAACAGCCAAACCAGCTATGAATAAGAACAGAAGTGCATAGTTGAAATTCTCTTGAAGAAGATCAAAGTTGTTCTCTGGAGATACTCTGGTAAAGAAAATATCAAAGCCATAAGCCAAAACTTAACTAGTTGATTCCAGTCTAGTTGGGAATGCTTTGATTTCTCTTAAATCAACTAAGTCTAGACCATAACTTAGATACTTGGTTGAGTCTACTGGAATAACAGCATCATAAGGTGGTTTTTCTGTGTCTTTCAGCTATAAAGTACCATCTTTCTTTTCTTCAGCTTATCCTCCAACAAGAGCCATATTTTCTGGATAAGGTCTTCTCGCACTAAAGAAATTGTGAGTAAGCTAGTAAACCTGATTTTAAGGGTATGAAATAACTATCAAACTCTTTCCTGCAATATGATGAAGAGTCTAAGTAAGCACTATAGATTTTACTGTGTAAGGAAGAAGATAGGTCTCTTGTATGATCACAGGTGATTCTTAAGTGAAACTACTGAAGAGATGTTGATGAAGTCTCTCATCTCCTTTGTAGTAGTCTAGAAGTAATTTTTTGGTATCAGCTTCTTATCTTTAATTGTAAAGTTCAGTGACACTGATTTCTTATTATGCTAATCCATTTGATGATTGCCTTGAGAAGGACATAACGAGCTAATTTTCTGAAAGAATTAGATCTATTGGAAGATCTAGTCTGACTTTCTTTTCAAAGTAATTATGAACAACTCTACCGCTTACTCCATTGATCAAGTAAACATGAATATCATCTTTGTCATTTAAAGTTACTAGAGCAAAGATGTTTGAGTCAAGGTATTTGAAGATTAAGTTTTCTCCTGAAAAAGATGTAGGTTGGAAATGAAGATGATCAATCTAAGATTAGGTTTAAAATTAAGTCTCAATTCTGAGAACTCTTTCATTATTTGAGCCATCGAGTTTGAATTGCCATAGTTTTGTAGCTGTTAAATCTTGCCTAAGCTTATATCCAACTATGGATCTATCTTTATGATTAATCAAAGTGAAGTGAATATTTTCTCCATCCATAACATCAGCAGAGTATGTATTTTTAGGGAATACGTTTAGAGGTGTTCCATCTGAGAGTGATTACTGATTTAATTATAGGACCAATTATCCTCTTGATTTTAATTGAATGAGTATGTAATCTTGTTAGTCAGTTGATTGAGTATCATAAGTCTACACAATTTCACCAGTGAATGGATTAAGGAAAGATAGTCTATCATTTTAGATAACAACTACTTATTAATTGACAAGTGGCTGGGACTCAATTTCTCTTTCAAGCAAGTTTCTTATCAATATTTTTACTGGTCTCTATGACTCTAATGAGCCAAAATATTTTTACCATAGAACACTTCCATCAATTGAAGAAAGGGATAAGACCTTTCCTACTTCTGTTAGTGTTATCAGCATCTTTTTAAATCCAAAGGTCACTCCGAGTCCGTCAGACATTATACTTCCTGGCTGTTAATTTTTGTTCTGATTTTGATTTAAAAATCTATGAATTTGATTTATGAGATATTAGATGTTCTCCTTGTACCTATTGAGAATTCTAAAGGGTATTTGATTAATACTAACATCTTGGTTAATATTCTTAACATAATCAAGATCATTCTCAATGACAGCTTTTTCTTGTTCAAGGACCTCAACTTGGCTTATCAAGCTCAAACTCTCTTCTCTAGTCCATCTTATCTTCAAATTATTGTGAATGAAATGAAGAGATAGATCTTGGAACTAAATAATATGATCGTTTCCATTCCTAAATAATCTCAATAGTTGTCCATGATTTGAAAGAGTGAGACCATGAGATTCATATAGATTTGATACGGATCCTCTATCATTAATTTGAAGCAAGTTTAATTTATCTTGGCAAACTACTGAAATTACGAAATGATCAGATGGTTTACTGATAGATTCAATATTTTCACTTTCTTGAGCTCTTTACATGTGACATCCAGACTCAATTTTGATAGTGTTGCCAGGATGAGATGAATGACCAAGATCTGTTGAGCTATGCTTGCCTTACTTATCAGTAAGGGTCACTATATCATTGATATTTGATACTTAGATTTCGACGATATTGTCTAGTTCTTTTTGCTTCTCAATATCAGTTGCTTTTAAAACAAGAGCTTTGTTTGAAGTTGAGTCATGAATAATGAAATGCATGTAAGTTCTGTAAACATTTGAGATTTGTGTTGTAATTAAGATTGATTATTTCTCCTGCATATCCTGCTTTGAAACATCAATAATAAAAGAGCTGACTTTTTCATCCATAACTTTGGCTAAAAGTACCAATTCATGATTCTATCTATCAAATAGCATTGATAAAGGCTTGATATCTGGAAGAGATTTTCCAGTGTCAAAATGAGTGTACTCTAAGGAGCCTACTTGCTAATAATCTCTGTAAATAATGACCTTGTAGTCCTTGGCGAAAACACTATAGATATGACCACCCTGTTCAAAAATTTCTACTGCAAGATGAGAATCTTAAGGAACTCCAAGACTTAGCTCACCATCAAGGTGAACATCGTAAATAACGTGAGCTGCTGAATTTACCATAAGAGCTCTACTCTTAGAATGGACAATAAGATTTCTTGAAAGATACTTGAGTTGATATTGTTCATTATTATCTAGTTTTGGTAATTGCTTTTTCCAATTGATTTTCTAGTTCTCAGTATCAAATAGAGTAAGGAGCCCAGAGCTTGAAATTGTATAGACTAAGTTAGAGTTTTCTATGAACTTAAGATCAACAATTTCTCCTAAATTCTCGATTTTCCAATCTCTTTAACCTCTTTCCCTTTCATATAGTCCCAAAGTTGTATGAATAAATGTTAGTACAATTATTGACACAAATGTATTCTTAATAGAATCTTTTCTCATATTCCCTATTTAATAATTATAAAATTTCATTAATGAATTCAAATCTACAATTACGGGGTTTTGGGGTTTTGGGGAGATCGGA